GCCAGTTTTTGGCAAAAAACAGCATGCATCTCTTGCCCCATACACTTTACTCACCTGACCTCTCTCCTGCCACTTCTTTTTGTTTCTGTGAATGAAGAGGGACTTGAAAGGACAACGATTTGATGATGGACAAGAGGTGAAGAAAAAACAAACAAGGGGGGTGCTGTCAGCCATTCAAACAGATGTGTTTGAAAAATGTTTCCAAGAATGGAATAACAAATTTGATAAATATATTAAGTGTAATGGAGAGTACTTTGAAGGTGATAAGGCTGTTTTGTAAAACAAATTTAAATATATAGCTTTGAAACAAATCCAGTCTGTTCGTTTGTTTAGTACCCCCTCATATGAGACAATGGAAAATACCATGGCGTGGGTCAGGCACACCTTAGTCCTCAAAGTAGCATCTTTACTTTTCAATACTCTAAAGAGGTCTTGTGCAGCAGGTTTACCTAATGCAACTCCACTTTTGACCTCTTGACCGCTGCTTCCATGAGCATCTAGTGTGGATCCAGGCAAGACAAAATCCTTGACAACGTCAAGTTATCAATTGGTCCATTTGTAAGGATTTTGGTCTTCTTGACATTGAGTTGTGATATCCACTGAAGGTTGCAATCCTTGATCTACATCCACAAGTGTTTAGTCACGCTCCCTTTCAGCAAGCAAGCTTGTGTTATTTGAATATCTCAGGTTGTTAATAAACCTTTCTCCAATCCCGATGCTGCACGTTTCTTCAAATAATTCAGCTTCTCTGATGAGTTGCTCAGCATGGAAATCCTTATGGGAGTAGAAAGTTCCTCTTTCTCCCTGGGCGTCTGGTGGCTTCCAACTGCTCCCCTTGCGGTTATCAGCCCCGAGCACGACCCCAATCAGGGCTTTTTTACCCCACTACAGTGCTCCCCTAGCACCAGGGGGGATTTGCCGGAGACGTTCTACATCTTACTCAAGACAACCTCTGGCTTCCTCTGAATCGTGGGCTTAAAGTCTCTGTCCCTGGGGCCACCACACCCTGAGTCCGTGTCTCCCCGGAGTCTCCACCGCCCGGAATCTGGGCCGAGGCGCGCCCGGAGCTCTCCTTTGCCGCGCGGCCGCGCGCGCCCTGCCGGGAGCTGCGCGC